GAAAACTTACAGATATAAACGACTGTAGCATCACATTTCTTCTTGAGTATTAATAAAAACGTGAGTAAGGAACACGCAGATGGGTGTTTTTTGAAGCCTCTCGTTTTAACTGGCAGTAACTGACCTAACATACCGATCGGTTTTTGCCAGTCTGAAAATTTTTCTCAACCGGCCGAACCGGACCGGTTACAACTCTGACACACACACATATACACACTCTCATTCTAAACAACTTTTAAACAACATCGTAGTCGTCACTACCAACGAAATGACTTTTTTTTTTTCTCATAATCGATAGTTGTTCTTTAGAGTCCCTTGAGAATACACTTTAATTTTATCGTCACTGAAATAGAGAAAGTCCTCTAACTAAAACCGCAAAGTCAAAAAGGGAGTAGAACTGTTAGGATAACAGCACAAAAGTTTATGATCAATTATGTGTATTTTAATCATCATCGTATTTATAAGGGGCTTAAGTAGAAAAAATTGCATGTTTGTATTTCGTCAGAGAAACACGCCTTATTCTTTTTTTTTCTTCTATATTTCATAAAATTTTGCAACGATAAATAAATCACACACAACCGCCTTTTTAGTTTGGTTAAGATTATTGTACATGTCGATGATTAGCGAGAAAGAGATTTTCAATACAAATAATATAGACTCAAATCGAGATACAACCAGTTTTTTATTTAAAGTAAATGAAGTGTTAGTAACATCTTAAGTCTCTCTCTCTCTACTCTCAAAAATACAAAGTCACGGCAGAAAAGAAGAAAAAAAGAATGATAATCAGATTTTGATCGCTTGATTGGATAAATTATCGATATCCGGTTTGAAAAGAAGAAGAAAAAAATGTTGTATGTTTTTATTCATTTTTTTTTTAAAAATCGAACAGCAGAGAGCGTGTTCATAACTCTATTAAAACATATGTATGTTACAAATTAATAAAAATAACTATATACAACTATTTCACAGATGATTTTGTCGAGATGGATATATATATATATATATATATATACATATAAAGACGATTTTCCCGTTTTTCTTATTGAAATAAAAAAGGACAAGTTTTTTTTTTTTTTCTTCTTCTTGTTAAACAAAATTGTTTCATGTTTCACAGTCTTTTCGTCTAATATCATAATCATCTGTCAATCAGCGAAACAAATAATGAACATGCTTTGGTCATTAATAATCACTCGTACGTCTTCTGAACAGATTGGCATCATGCTAGAAAGGTAATGTAGAATATTTGTTGTTTTTTTGCACCAAGATATAGTTAAAAATAAATTCTACTAAATAAAAGAATGTGAAATGAACCACAAGTTTGTACACAAATTATTTGTTGCTAAATAGAGAAGTGATGAATGTAACAGTAAGATTTAATTATTTGAGAACATTACTAATTGTTTACATCGATCTATTTTTAGGTAATATGACAGTATTTACAGCGGATCTTAATTCGAATATATATTAAGGGTAAGTTCAATAGATGATTTGTCATGTTTTCGATTTTTACATGATAAGTTTTATTGTTTTAGCACGCTTGGTGAATACAATCATGTTAACTCTACTTTTGATCATGAATTATTAATAGTTTGTATCAAATAACCTAATAAAAAATACTTGGATCAGGCTTCTTTAATATCAATATTAAATCGGATTAAAAAAAAGTGTGTTTCCAAACACAATTCGTAGACTTTTCCACGAAAACCTCTTGTACTATGAAAGTAAGTATTTTCTGGTAAAATTATTTTACGTAAAAGTAAGACTTTAAAGCAAAAGATTTACTATAATTAAATAGTTATTAGCACATTGATTTTAGACCATTATTCTTCTCATAGTGTTTAAATGTCATGTGTATACACGGATCTATTTTATACAGGTATGTAACTACTCTATACATATCAGTTTATCACTTTTCGAGAGAATGTCAAATGACAAACATCGTCATGCATGTCTAAGAGCAATTATATGGCATAGAAGTTAATGATATTCAAATAAATCTTCTCATTTTAGATCGCAATATTAGTCCAAAACAAAGAATCAAAATTCAATTGTAATGATAACTTGAGAGTGATGAACACAGAGAACATGGATTTTAGTGATATTATAATCGAATTGATGAGAACACCGACACCATTTCAGTCTTGAATTTTTTAAAATCACAACATCGAATTGAACAACAGTATGATTATTCTACAATATATTGGTAATCGAACGAATATGATACTATTCCCGCAAACATGTATCGTAGATAGTATTGACAATATACACTCAACTTTAATGAAGAAAATAACAATCGATAGATAATACAATTTGAATCAAAAAAAGACATTTTATTTAAGATAAATGTTACCCATATGATCATTGTAAATTAGTAAGTACTATCATGTACTAACTAAAAGTTGACTAAAAAAATAAATAATTTTGTCAATAAAAAAATGATATCTACAGAAGAAAAAAAAAAAAGACAAGTAATTCAATCATTCATTCTAAATGTCGCCCAAGCAAATTTAAAATTGTGTTTTGTGAAGTTGTTGTCAAATTAAAATAGGACAATAGTTTCATTATTTGTTCTAAAATTGATGAAAGTTCGTCGTTCTTTACTTTTTTCGTTAATATATGATGTAAATATGAAAATATTTTCGAATGAAATACATAACCATTTTTTATTTCATTTAAAAATATCTGTTCATTTAGTTGTTCAACAAATCCTAGAGGGCGATTGATATACGTATGAGATAACTTTTTACTTATTTTCATTAATAATTGTTGACTATTATCATTATCATATACAGATAAAATATCACATTTTTTCAACAATTGACTCATTTTTTTATCTCCTACATTTTTATCATACTGACAAAGATCACAAAGACAGTCATTAATAGCATAGCCGAACAATAATCGTGTACGTTTTTCATAAGAATTATAATTTGATACATAACTAATTGTTAGTTCTTGACCTTTTTTTATCGGTTGATAGACACTTAGGAAACAGAAACGACCAATAATTAACCATAAACAATTTGGTAAACATAAATGATTAAATTGAGCTAATTTTGGCCATATACCACAACAGTAACCATTTGACATTGTATTATGTTCATGTAATTCAACAATTAAACGATAGGGTAGAAATTGTTGTTGTTTATCATCATCGTCTTCAACTTTTTTTAACATTTTTTCCTTATATTGTCTTATAGGATTTAAATCTGACAAATATTTATCTAATACATTTGTTTTTTCCAAAATTAAACGTTTTTCTATTTGATGAAGTAAATTTGATGTTGATTGTGTATAAACTTTACCACCGGTAGATTGAATTGTCTGTTGTGAAAGACCCAGTGTCACATATCGCTGTTCGGCTAATAACATTTCGGTTGATTGTTCGACAGAATAAACAAACGCTTCTTCTACAAATAATAATGTACCAATTTCAAGATCACATAAAGCATATACACCGTAGCCTTTATCAACGGTATCTGACGACTAAAAGAAAGGATATTTGTAATAATAATGTTTACCGTTTTTATTTTTAATTCTTACATTTTTATCACATTGTCTAAATTCATAAACATCCTTTTTTTCATATTGAGCATGTAATTCTTCGAACTCTCCATTCCAGTTTTTATTCTTATTCTTTTTTACATCATGTTTTTGTAACATATCGATCATATCATATTGTCCATTCATTTCTTGTTTTAAACGTGGTAAATCCACATTATATAATTGATAAAATTGTTCAATAATACCATTATTCGTTGTTTGTATATCAGTTGATTTTCTTGCCGAATCAACTATTGTTTTCAAATATTTTTCAGCATTATCAAATAAATTTAATGACAATTGTGCACGTATCAAATAATAATAGAACCTCCAATTAATATTACTGGTACAGTTTGGTTTATTTAATTTGTCTGATACAGATTGTGTTAAGATCCTTTGATAATCATCCAATGCCAATTCATAACAATGTTCTTTTAAATAACAGTCAGCTCGTTTACTTAAAGCTTCAATATCAAATGGAGATTTTTCTAAACTAGCACTATAATAATCAATTGCACTACATACAGCACCATTTCGAAAACAATCATTTCCTAAACAAAAATAGATGACATGGTGTATAAAAACTTGGATTTGTGACATCTAAATCGTAGTTCGTACAAATGTTCGTTTTTATTTAAAAAGAATGAGTTAAATTTATATCAGAGAAGGAAAGAGTAAATTTTTCGCTGAATTGATAATGAAAACGTTCATTTAGCGCAATAGATGTGAACAGTTCGCCATTTAAAACGTCTACAGAATAATTGAAGCGAAGTATTTCAATCAAAGGAGAATGTTAGTAAAACAGTAATTTAGATTCGAAACATCGTTAAACTTAAACTCAAATAAATGTCGTGTCGAACGGAACTGCAATTGTTTGATACGGATAAAAGTAAAGAATCTGTTTCATAGTGTAGTAATATGTCTCTTTCATCCTAATCGTGTTATAGAGAGTTTCTTTACGTTTCTTCACGCTTTATTCGGGCACAAAACTAAAACTACAGAAACTGATCACTAAGGAAGGACTTAACTCTTCCAAAATATGTCTTATTCGCGATATATTGCGGATGCAATCCTACATCATACTCACTCTGGACCCTCAATATTCAGCGAACAGCAGGATTTAAAAAGTATTGCTGTTCGCGGAACAATGAGAGGATCCAGAGTGAATATTATGTAGGATTACATCCGCAATCCATCGCGAATGAGACATATTTTGGCAGAGTTAAGTGTTTAAAACAAAAATTTACGAAATTAAGCTAAAATTACATTTTAGTAATGATAAATGTGAAAGTGTATCGTTTTGACATTGTAACAGAAATCTAATGTTGAAGTTGTCAGGAAAAATCGATAAAATTCATACAAGATTTCGAAATGGTAAAATTCTTTTTATCTCTGAATAGAATAACTAAGCATTTTGCTGTCACAATGCCAAAAAATATGTTGCCCCATGTAACATAAAATGTAATTATAATTTAATTTCGTAACATGTTTGTTTTCATTTGATGTTTTTGTTCTTATTCTCATTAATATGTGATGTTTTAACTATATTGTTAATAATCAGGCAGACATTATTATTAATCAAGCAAAAAAACCTTCTATGCTATCCGGACTTGCCCACCTCAGCGTTTTCATGTCAGTTTTAGTACTTTTCACCAATAAGCAGAAAAAATCGGTAAAAAGAAAGTGAAAGAAGGATAAACTTTTTTATTCGAAATAAAACAGGAAATGCTAGATCACAACTAGAAGTACCGTCAGAGTTAAAAAGCAACAACCATAAAGACCTACTAGAATTAAACTAAAACATTATTATATTTACCTATTTCTCTTAACTGATCGGCGGTCATTTTCGTTTTCTCATTTTCGTACGTTGTAAAAAACAGTTGATATTTTGGATTTTCACATCGACATAAAAGTACACCATCTGCTCCTATTTTCACGAATGGTTCTCCAATAATCAGTTGTGACTTACATTTTAAACGTTTTTTTATTTCTTCTGTGGCTATTTCCTCGAACCAATTATAAATTGATAAACGTATTATATTTTGTTTATCATCTCTGACAATTGTTTGTATTGATCGTTTGGTTATTATTGGTGAAACGATGGTAACTACATGTATAATTTGATTTTTGTGAAAACGATTTATTTTTGTATCATTGAAATGGATATTTGTCATATTTTGAAGACGTTTTAAAATATCCGATTCTGACATGAATGTAATTTGATGATATTTAATTTGTGAATCGCATGCATAAGGATAAAAATGATAGACAGATGATGTTAAATTAAATTCATTTGCATAATTTTGAAATGATGCCAGTAGAGCTGATGGTAAAAATGGTGGATGATAGGGCATTGATGTACAATCGGGATTATAAACATTGTCAGGTGTTTGTATCAATCTTTTTATTAAATCAATCGACATTCTTTCTTCTGCATCTTCCGCAGTTGTTGTTGCTTTGATGGTGGCAGCTAATCGATGTTTGGTTCTTTTTGGACAACTTTTTGATAGCTCTTTTATCATTTTGGAAGTGTCTATGTTTTTTCCGAGGAATGATGCAAATGCATCACACTGAGATAACATTTGCTGATGTTCCTCACAGCAATGTGCGGGCACCATGTTCATTTTCAAAATAAGCACGAAACAAAATCTAAAAAAGACTCAGACTAAATGTGGTTAAGAACATGAGATGAATATATAGAGTGACTGTTAAAAATAACACTTTTGAATAATTTTCAACATTAAGGTAAGGTGGAGAAAATGCAAACTTTCAGTGGAATTTATTTTTGGCATTATTATACATATTCAGATCCAGCTTAACGAGCTGATTACGATTAACACCTTCCGAGCCTCCAAAAGCCATTTCTTCATGGAGAAAAACTCAA